CTGGCAACCAATGTTTCCTGTGGTTCTAGCTAACACACACGCTGGTACACACAGTTATCTCACTGATCTCAGCTACTTTCTCTGTGGGGTCACAGCTAGACTCCTGGCTCTTGAGTGAGCCCCTCCTCAATGGGGGCTCTATCAATGGTTTGCTGCTGAGAAGAATGTCAACATGGCAGCTGTCACTTTACAGATGCAGGGTGCAAAAGACAGTGGCTCAGGTCTTGTTTGGGTTCCACAGTAGTAGAGGTCAGTGGCCCCTTTTAAAGGAGGGATTCTGGCCTTTCCCCATGAAGTCTAATTTTTGTTGGAGGCTTTCTGTATGCACTAATTAGGGTTTCCAGTTACAGTCAACAGAAATCGACTCCCATTACACTCACAACATCCCCACAGCAGCAGAATAGTATCCGGTGGCAGAGAATCAATGCACAGCCTGGCAGAATGGCTCAGAGTGGGCCTGAGTCAGTAGAGGCCATGACAAAAGTCAGAGAACAAGAAACATTCAAGAATATCCTAGAAAAATCACTAGAAGATGCTTCTGCCCCTGCAGTCAGAGATAGCCCCAGACCCGACTGTTACCTCGTGTAGCCAACCAGCTCAAACTCAGGGTGTGAGGTTAGTACCAGGTGGATGAGGCTCAGGTCACTGGTTGACCAGAAGCCTGACAGGTCCTTGATCTTGGGCTCCTCGGCATTTACAACGATGAGAAACACATGTCTGTTCTTTATAAATGTCCCAGCCTTGGGTATTTTGGTATAAGAACACAAGAGGACTAAGGCCATCTCCTAAAAACTGTTTCCCCTAGATAAACCAGTTGGCAATGTTCAGATTACTATTGTTGGAGAGATGAGCAGTTGGTTCACCTGATCAGTTTGAGTTTCTGGCTTATGAGAACATATCATGGGATTGTTTTTTTTTTCAGGTTCTTATTCGCTGTCCTGTTATTATTATTATTATTATTATTATTATTATTATTATTATATTTATTCTGCTTCTTCTGTCTCTAAGAGTGTTAACTCCTTTCTATTTTCTGGGTTTTTAATGTTTTATTTATTATTATTGTGTGTTTGATGTATGAGAGTGTGAGGACAGGTGTGCCACAGCACACATTTGTAAGTCAGAGGACAACTTCTGTTGCTCACTTCCCCTCCTTCCATTGTAGGGTTCTAAGAATCAAGCTCAAGGGTCAGGCTCATGTACAGCACCCTTACCCCCTGGGCCATGTTGCCAGCCCTAATTCTCAGTCTTAAACACGTCCTTCACTCCCACTCTCCAGATCTTTCCATCACTGTGATGAACACCATGACCAAAAGCAACCCAGAAAGAGTTTATTTCAGCCTACAACTCTCAGGTCGCACTCCATTACTGGGGGATGTCAGGGCAGAGAACTGGGGACAGGAACTAAAGCAGAGGCCATAGAGCAGTGCTGCTTACTGGCTTGCTCCTCATGGCATGCTCAGTTTGCTTTCTTTCACGACTCAGGACCACCTTCCAGGGCTGGCGCTGCCCACGGTGAGCTGAACCCTCCCATGTCAATCATTAATAGAGAAAAGGCCCCAAGGATTTTCCCACAGCAAATCTGATGGAGTTAATTCCTCAGGTCCTTCAAGATGACCTAACTTGTGCCAGGTTGACAAAAACTCAGCAGCACAACTGACCCCTTGTCAACTCAACACACAAATGCATCACTCTCAAGTCATAGCCTTTCTTTTTTATTTATCCCCAAGGTCTCTTGTATATAACACAAGTGTAACTCTAAAACTCTCATAGGCTTTAAATTTTTCAACACTTGTAAAGTCCGATCTCTTAAAAAAAAGTCTTTTTAAAAGTCCAAAATCTTTGAACTGCAGACTTCTGTGAAATCAAAAGTAAATTCAGAGCTAGAGAAACAGTTCAGTGGTTAAAACACTGCCTGCTCTTGCAGAGGACCCAGGTTCAGTTCCCAGCACCAATCTGACAGCTCACAGCTGTCTGTGCAACCACTTCTAAGAAATCCAGGCTTTCCCAGCCTCTGCACACAGTGCACACATGTGGTACACATACATGTAGGCTGACACACATAAAATAAATCTCTAAGAAGCATGTAAGGGGGTCAGAGAAATGTCTCAGTGCTTAAGAGGACTTGCTGCTCTTCTAGAGGACCTGAGTTCAGTCCCCAGAATCCACAAAATGTGGCTTTATCACTTCCTATAACACAAGTTTCACATGCTCTTCAGGACTCAGAGGGCGCTCAATGTAGCATTATTTTTATCCCCTGTGCAGGATCTTCTGGGGCAGAGAGATCATCTCTCTAATCTCCTGTCATGAAAGTGTTGAGCCATCCATAAGGGTGGATCTCCCGTAGACTAATTCTTTACTTCTCTAATCATCAAGCCCATCCATATGGTGGACCCTCAGAAGCCCTCTGCGGTGGTTGGAATAGGTACGGTCCCCACAGAATTGTGTGTTTGATGCTTGACCCATATGGAATGGCATCGTTAGGAGGTGTGGCCTTGTTGGAGTAGGTGTGGTCTTCTTAGAGGAAGTGTGTCATTGTGAGGGCGAGGTTTGAGGTCTCAAATGCTCAAGCTACACCCATTGTGACACACAGTCTCCTTCTACTGGCTACAATCAAGATGTAGAACTCTCAGCTACCTTTCCACCATGTGTCTGCCTACATGCCACCCACCGTGACAATAATGGACTAACCTTCAGAACTGTAAGCAACCCCATTTAAATGTTTTCCTTTGTAAGAATTTCCATGGTCACGGTGTCTCGTCACAGTGATGGAAACCCTAAGAAAGCCTCCAAACATGACCACATGTGAATCTAGGGGACACAGACTGTACACAGCAGGCCCAGCCCTGCCTGGTCTCTTCTCACTCTGATCTAGCTACATTGAGCATCCTCTTCCCTGGTTCAACACGCTCCTGCATTCAACCAGCCTTTCCACTCTAGCCTCTCCCCAGAAGCCCCTGCAGCTCACATGTGAGTGGGGGTCACTGGGTCTCCATTTGCTTGTGCTTTCTCTGGAGAGCTTTTCTAGCACCTCAGGAATACTGATGGTGCCTGTCCCATTTCCACTCACCACAGCCACACTCTACTCTCACAGCCTCCTTAGCAGTCGTTTTCATTAACGGAGAATAAATTTCTGCCAAGTGTGATACATGTGTCTAATCCTAGTACTTGGGTGGGTCAGTCAGGGGGATTGTGGGTTCAAAGCCAGAGTGGAAGGAGGGAAGGAAAGGAGGGAGGGAGGGAGAGGGGAAGGAAGAAGGTATTCATGGTTCTTATCTGAGGGAAGAATAACCAGAATTTCTGGTGTTCACTGCACTAACGTAAATATTATCTAATTGAGCATGGCCTGGCCCTCATCACAGAAAGAGATCTAATTGCTGCCTTCAAGATCCATTTATACTGACAGAGCCTGCAGAGCCACACCGTATCTAAAGAAGGAGAGAGCATACAGCATTTGGACTGGCTGGGACTGGCCTGGCCCACCCTTCCCACCTGCACATGTCAGGTAGAGAGGATGCTTTCCCTGGTTTACAGATGTTGGTTATAAATACCAGAATAATCAACAAATCTAAAATGGACATTGTAGAGCCACCTTTCTCTAGGACCTTAAACAGCTCTGCACCATGGGGTAGCACAGATCAATAAGTCTTTGTGATGATAGCTGATGTTTCCCCATCCAGTCAGTGCCATCTGTGGCTACAAAAAGTTATCTGGGCTGGTGCAATGGCTTAGCCAGTAAAGGCATTGGTCATCCAGCCTGACAGCCTGAGTATGATTCCCAGAACTCATTTGATGGAAAGGAAACAAGCTCCTCTAGCTTGACTTCCAATGTCATGGTCTGTGTGTGTGTGTGTGTGTGTGTGTGTGTGTGTGTGTGTGTGTGTGT